AACAAGAACAGCAAATGCAACGTCATCTGGGAAACCCAGTTACAACAGTGGGGCCCTAGCTACACCAGAGACATCTGTATAGAAATTCTTAGCACCAGCCCAGCACCACAAGGGTAAGTAGCCACAGCACAGATAAGCAAGGGTTATCAAATGGTGTCAAATGCTAGTGGTCTGCCTACACTGGGCTTCTAGCAGCCACAGAGCGAAGTGTTCGCAATGGCGGGATTCTGTCTTTTCAATGGTTTCCTCCATATGGACGGGGCTTGACTGTTCTCGAACCAATGCTACAAGCAGAAGCACCACCGTTACCAATGCCAATAGACACAGCCTCCCAGGAAGAATCTCTTATCCTTGTTTAACAGAGGAGAGAAAACAGGGCTCAGAGTTGAAAGTCATGACTATGTTAAAAGGTCTAGACCACATCAGCCTAAACTGAAAGATACACCAGGGTGGAAGTGGTAATTGCCCTGATTACTAGTTAGGCTGCATCCTGATAAACAACTGGACTGGGGTAACAGACAGCACCCTAAACCACGAGCCTCAGTTTCTCCCCTCTGCAGACATGGGATAATACTTGGCTACATCCCAAAAGAGTAGTTACTTGCATAGCACTTTGCATTTGAAGAGCTGAACAGATTAGCATCAGTTTCCAAAACATACGTGGTTCAGAAACGAGGGAAAGTTCAGCCTCAAACTAGAGGTAATGTGGCTGAGAAATTAAACGGGCTCTTTCAACCTTGACTATCATGTTACTACTGTGACACTATTGGGCGGTAGCCATCAAAACCAAATATTCAGAGGGTAATAGTTAAAGTCCTGTCAGTATTACTTACAAAATGGTATTTTTTCAGAGATTTATAACTCGGCAATAAAAACCATTCCAGACTGAAACATGAGGTTATAAGGTTTCAGTCCCAGAGTGAAGTTTTAGACTAAAATTAATGGGGGGGGGAGGGGAATAATCAAATTAAACCATTTGAGATACAAGAGTGAAAAAAGTTGTTACAGCAGATTTGTGCTCCTATAACTTAGTCTGCTTCCAGTTTAACAAGTTTAACAAATTATTAGTCCATAAACCTTGTGTGGTCCAACTGCATTCGGTATTAAATTTTATTTTAAAATGACAGACCCCTAGTATAAAACGTGGCCAGGGGGCATATACAGAACACTCCCCAAACAGCAAATACTGCACATGGAATAGCTAATTAGTAAAAGGGTCCCAGTTTTAAACTGATTTCCAACAGTATTTCTTAGTACATAGGCTAATCCAACTAGGAACCTTTCCAAGCTCAGAGGTAAATACTTATTTTTATAACCTCATTAGTTGGTGGGTTTTTTTAAGAAGAATTAAACAGCCCACCTTATAGCCCTTGAACAGGCAGCATGCGACAGACAGAAACCAGGAAATTCCAAGTTAAAGCAGACTCCCAGGTCTTACCTTGGAATTTCCTGGATTGTGTCAGTTTCGGTCACACAGCTAATGTTCTTTAAACAGTTATGCAGTTAGTCCTAGGAGGTAATAGTGTATCTGTCCCCCAGGAGGGAATTAATAGACTGCCTGAGGGTAGAAAAAGCAGAGTGACAGAGCCTGAAACACGCCAGTCTCCAGCAGGTCAGCTTTAATTGTAGAGCCCTGCAAATCCGCAGAGAGCCGCAGGGAGCTGCACCCGCACATGTGGATTAGGGATGTAAAATCCCATTTAAAAGTTAAACTTAATGTTTTAATTGGTTAACCAGGATTCTTCAGACAGGGGACTACTCCAGTCCAGCCAGGCCAAACCCTCTGCATCTCTTGGGAGAGGGGCGGGTGGGGGTATGTTCCTGCCACCGGTCCTCCCTTACTGATAAGGGTGATGCTTATCGGGTCACCAGTTAACCCTTTCTCTCCCTAATGTGGATATCTGCAGCTATTTTTATGAAAACATGCAGCTATCTGCAGATGTGGAAGCGGATATCCGCCACTCATTTTTGCAAATACTGATGCAGATACAAAATTTGAATCCGCTTAGGGCTCTACTTAATTGCACTATTTCAGTGAACCTGGAAAAATGAACAGGGATCTTAACTGGTTACTGCATCAACAGAGTTACTAACTAAACCACAAAGGCAGAATCTTTACTAAGGTTGATGCATGAGCCACGATGAACTTAATTTTCTTCTCAGACCTCCAGGGGAATTTGCTGAGCCTTTTTACTTATAAGACTCAGAATATCAGCTCATGCGCCAGACACACAAAAACAAACATGGAGACCCAGGGAACTGTTTCTACACAGCCTGTTTTCAAAGCAGAACTACGCTTGAAAAAGCATTTTAATGTTATTTCCCATTCATAGAGGTCACTGTACATATTTTAAAACACTATAAGGCTATGTCTAGACTGCACTGCTTTTCCAGGGTACTGGAGGTATCCTGGAAAAGCAATGCTGTGTCCAAGGAACGCAGCCACCTTTTCGGAAAAAAAATTTAAAAAAGCGGACGTGCTCTTTTACCATTCCTGTAAACCTTGTTCTATGAGGAATAAGGAATGTGTTGAAAGAGCACTCTTTTGAATGTGGTGCCATGTAGACCCGCCAAATTCTGAAAGAGCCTTTTTCTAAAGTAAATTGGAAAAAGATATGCAATTAGCAGTATGCAAATTGCATTTCTTTTTCTGATTTAACATTGCAGTGTAGACCTGGCCTAAGGGATTGTCTACACTTAAAATGCTAGAGCGGCACACAGCAACAATACAGGTAATCCACCTCCCTGAGAGACAATTGCCATATTGATTGAAGAATTCTTCTGCTGACCAAGGTGTTATCTAAAAAGGACTTAAGACAACCTAACACCATCAAGGGGTTTCCCGTATCTCTGACCGATGTAATTAAAAATCAACCTAATTTTTCCAGTGCAGACCATGCCTAATTTTATATACAGGGGTGTTCTAACACAAAGAAAATACAGGACTATGTAGCACTTTAAAGACTAACAAGATGGTTTATTAGATGATGAGCTTTCGTGGGCCAGACCACGAAAGCTCATCATCTAATAAACCATCTTGTTAGTCTTTAAAGTGCTACATAGTCCTGTATTTTGTTTCAGCTACACCAGACTAACACGGCTACATCTCTATCACTATTCTCCTAACACAAAGAGAGCGCCTTGAAATAATTACTTCACATGTCAGTCTGGCCTCTCCTGGAGAGAAAGAAAAAAAAGTCGAACCTTAGGGCTTATCCACACTTAAAATGCAAAAGTGTAGACACAACTCGAGCTCATGGGAGGGGTTCTACACTCACATAGGTAACTAACTTCCCTGAGAGGCAGCCGAGAAGTCAAGGGAAGAATGCTTCTGTCAACCTAGCGCTGTCTACACAGGGACTTGGGCTGGCTTTCCTACCTTGTTCACAGGTGTGGATTTTTCAATCTAATTGTCAAATATAGGCCAGGCCTTATTCTTTAACTTGCTTTAATTTAACAGCAACTCAACTGCTCTGCAAACAGTCTCGCCTCAAAAGCACAGTGTTTTAAGGAAGGGTTACAGCTCTGCACCACTGTAGGACTTCAGCAAAGAGGCTGCTCAC